GAACCAAATCAAAGACTCAATTCCCTTCACAATAGCAACAAAGAAATTAAAGTACCTAGGAATATACTTAACCAAGGACGTAAAAGACCTCTACAGGGAGAACTATGAACCACTGAGGAAGGAAATAGCAGAGGATGTAAACAGATGGAAATCCATACCATGCTCGTGGATCGGCAGACTCAATATCATCAAAATGTCTATACTACCCAAACTGATCTACAGATTCAATGCAATACCTATTAAAATCCCATCAGCATTCTTCACAGAGATAGAAAAAATAATTTTACGCTTTGTATGGAACCAAAGAAGACCCCGAATATCAAGAGCAATTCTAGGCAACAAAAACAAAATGGGAGGCATTAATATGCCAGATATCAAACTATACTACAAAGCTGTAGTAATTAAATCAATATGGTATTGGCACAAAAATAGGAATATTGACCACTGGAACAGATGTGAGAATCCTGATATAAAACCATCCTCATATAGCCATCTAATCTTTGACAAAGCAGACAAAAATATACGCTGGGGAAAAGAATCCCTCTTCAATAAATGGTGCTGGGAAAACTGGATAGCCACCTGTAGAAGGCTAAAACAGGACCCACACCATTCACCTCTCACAAAAATCAACTCACGCTGGATAACAGACTTAAACCTAAGGTATGAAACTATTAGAACTCTAGAGGAAAAAGTTGGAAACACTCTCCTAGACATCGGCCTGGGCAAAGAGTTTATGAAGAAGTCCCCAAAGGCAATCACAGCAGCAACAAAAATAAATAAATGGGACATGATCAAACTACAAACTTCTGCACAGCCAAAGAAATAGTCATGAAAGTAAACAGACAACCTACAGAATGGGAGAAAATTTTTGCATCCTATGCATCCGATAAGGGACTGATAACTAGAATATACTTAGAACTCACGAAAATCAGGAAGAAAAAATCAAATAACCCCATTAAAAAGTGGGCAAAGGACTTGAACAGAAACTTTTCTAAAGAAGACAGAAGAATGGCCAACAAACATATGAAAAAATGCTCAACCTCTCTAATCATCAGGGAAATGCAAATCAAAACCACAATGAGATATCACTTAACCCCAGTGAGAATGGCCTTTATCAAAAAATCTCCAAACAATAAATGCTGGCGTGGTTGCGGAGAGAGAGGAACACTCCTACACTGCTGGTGGGACTGCAAACTAGTTCAACCTCTGTGGAAAGCAATATGGAGATACCTTAAAGCGATACAAATGAATCTATCATTTGATCCAGCAATCCCATTGCTGGGCATCTACCCAAATGATCCAATGACACTCTACAAAAAAGACACCTGCACTCAAATGTTTATAGCAGCACAATTCATAATTGCAAGGCTGTGGAAACAGCCCAAGTGCCCATCAATCCAAGAATGGATTAATAAAATGTGGTATATGTATACCATGGAGTACTATTCAGCTCTAAGAAACAATGGTGATATAGCACATCTTATATTTTCTTGGTTAGAGCTAGAACCCATACTACTAAGTGAAGTATCCCAAGAATGGAAAAACAAGCACCAGATATATTCTCCAGCAAACTGGTATTAACTGTGTAGCACCTAAGTGGACACATAGGTACTACAGTAATAGGGTATTGGGCAGGTGGGAAGGGGGAGGGGGCGGGTATATACATACATAATGAGTGAGATGTGCACCATCTGGGGGATGGTCATGATGGAGACTCAGACTTTTGGGGGGAAGGGGGGAAGTGGGCATTTATTGAAACCTTAAAATCTGTACCCCCATAATATGCCGAAATAAAAAAAAATAAAATAAATAACAACAATGTTTATGCTTTTTATTTGCTTTACTGATCTTCCTATTTATTCATTACAAGTAATAGAACTATTTGGCTACTTCATCTTGAAGCATTTCTGGCCCAAATATTTACGTATTGAAATACACATGCTTCTTAATTTATGATAGGATTATGTTCCAGTAAACCCATTGTAAGTCAAAAATATTGTAGTTGAAAATGCATTTAATACACCTAATCTACCAAACATCATAGTTTAGCCTAGCCTACTTTAAAATGTGTTCAGAATACTTACATTAGCCTACAATTGGGCAAAATAAATCACACAAAGCCTACTTTATAATAAAGTGTTGACTATCTCATGTAATTTATTGAATACTGTACTGAAAGTAAAAAACAGGATGATCATATGGGTATTTGAAGCACAGTTTCTGCTAAATGTTTGTTATGTTCGCACCATTGTAAGGTTGAAAAATTGTAATTCAAGCCATCATAAATTGGACATTGTGTGTACACATACGTATTATTTATCAAAAATTCTTTTTTTATAATTTCTTTATGTCAAAGTCAGGGCATTATCTTGAGTTTTAAATAAAAGTTATGCATATAGGTAGCTTATATTAATATTATCTTATATTGCATGTCAGAATATTTAAGAGAGTGTGATAGGCAGAATAATACCACCCCTCCAAAAATGATGTCCATACCCTAATCTCCAGAAAGTGTGATTGTGTTACGTTATATGGCAAAAGGAACTTTGGAGATGTGATTGAGTTAAGGATTTTCAGAGGAGGAGCTTATCCTGGGTTAGGCAGGTGGGTCCAATGTTACTACAATGGTTCTTAGAAGGGAAAGAGGGAAGCAGGAGAGTCAGAGTCACAGAAGATGCAATGATAGAAATAGAGGTTGGAGTGATGCAATTGCTGGCTTTAAAGATGGAGAAAGGGTCCAAGAATTAAGGAATGCAAGCAACCTCCTGATGTTAGAACAGGCAAGGAAAAGGACTATCCCTGAGAGCCTCCAAAAGAAACTCAGTCTTGGTGATCCCTGAACTTGATCCCACTGAGACCCATTTGAACTTCTGAACAGTGGAACTGTAAAGTAGTAAATGTGCACTATTTTAGGCCACTAAGTTTGCAGTAATTTGTTATAGCAGCAAATAAGAAACTGATACAGGGATTGCTAAGAAAAATTACACTAGACAGAAATAGACAGTCAAGGAAGACTTTATGAAAGACTATTGTAATAGGAGAGAGAGATTGAACTCAGCTCTTTTTGAGCACTGGGGTAAGCTAGTGGAAAAGTACTGGAGGATATTAGGGGACAGGATGGGCAACATGGCTATGCCATGTGTGTTTGCTAATTGTCACTTATTGAATTTAGGTGCCTAGCTTCCCACAGAAACTGTGTAATAATGCTGTGCTTACCTTTCAAAGGGATAGTTCCCATGTCCTTGAGAAAGACATCCCAACATGTAAAACTCTGCCTTTGAAAGGGGCAGAGAAAAACTTTGCAATTAGACATTTTCTAAAGTAAATGCTCCAAGAAAAGGGAAATGAGGGGCCTATTGCCAGAAAGAAGCTGGTCTAAAGTCGTGTCAGGCTGAGGAGAATGCTAAGGCTTAGCAAAAAAAAAAAAATTATCTAAAAATGGACACTGCATCTGATAGAAGTGAGAATGATTAGGCTAGATAAATTCTAATTTTGTGTTTAGTCTGTTTTTTTTAAAATTAGATATCTTAAAATATTGAATAGTCTATGTGCTGTTTTGATGAATTTGTCATTTTTATTATCTTGCTATTATCAGGACCTATCTAAAATCCTACATTTTCCACAAAGCCCCCCCTGGTTTTCAAACCCTGTTCTCTCTCTTATCAAAAGCCTACAATCAATTATTTGCCTTATATTTTTGCATATTTGTCATATTTATTATTAGATCATATGTTGTTGGACGCAAAAGGTTTTCTTCTAGCCTATGTAATGTGCCCTTTCAGTTATAGCTAATAAGATGTCATTGTCTTTTATAAATAATTATATATATGATGTGTTTTATATATATGCACAAAAATATATGGTTATCGCTCAACTGATCTGTTATGAGTTTTATTAATGTGGTTAGAATAAAAATTTGTAAATATGATTTTTTGATTAGTTTAACAGAAAAGCATAAATAAATCTACACTACTCTGATCAAAACTGAAATATTTATGGTAAATCCTAATTTTTTTGATATCATACTAAAATATCCTTTTTGTAGGGATAAGGACTGCAAACATTTATCACAATTACACATATTGTTAAAATGTAGAATTGTGTAAGCTAAATACTTTTATTTAATATAATATTTACCAAAATGATATACAACTACTTCGAATTAATTAAGCTGACTGATGGAAATGCTCTGTGTTTTCTCTGTTCAACACGTTAGCCACTAGCCATATGGTGCTATTTGGTACTTGACATATGGTTACTATGTTTGAAGAACTGAATTTTCAATCTTATTTCTTTTTGATTAATTTGACTCGTGATTTGTGACTACCATACTGAGAAGCTCGGCACTTGCATCCCTGAGTTTCTATGATTATTTTTAACCATAGGCTGAACTTTATCCTGAACTCAGAGGAATCTCACAATATCTGTTATATAAAATAATAAACATGTAAGCATCAAAAATATCATGTAATGTTTTTAAAAACCACTAAAACAACTTAAATCAAACATCATAGTTCCAGAAAAATTCGTATTTTTATTTGAATAAAATAAAGGATAGATGAAAGACATGTAAAATCCAAGAAGATATAAAATGCAACATTTTTCCCATGAATGTCCAGTTAAATGACTATTGAAACCAAAAATAAACATACTTGTCAAGTGCAGAGTTATACTAGTATTATTTGTTTTTGCTTTATGTACCCTCTTAAATGATTCTAGTAACCTACGACCATCTTGTCTGCTTGTAAAAATGATTTCTGAATTTTACATGCGAGAATATAATCAGAACCAAAAAGCAGATGTCAACTTTACTGCCTGAGCTCTTAACACTTCCCACAAGCCTCTGCTCTAATCTTTGGCATTGTCCAACCCTTTAGGTGTCCTGTAGACTGCTTTCACCAAGTTTGAAGTTTTTCTCATTTATTGCTACCCGAGTTTTGCACCTCAATTTATAATTCATCGTTGATTTTAATTAACCTCAAATAACACACACAATTCAGTTGACAGAGCCAAGAACTGAGTAACAGCTGGGGAAACAAAAGAAAAGACAGTCGGTGAGTGGAGCCTCAAAAACAACCGGATGACACACGCAAGCAATTTGAGACAGGAAATGCATGCTATGAAGCGATGCTGTGGGATGTTCTTTAAATCAAGAGAGCTTTCCATGACTGAATTTCACATATAATTGTTTGTCTGCTCTGGAAAAGGCAGACAGCACTGTCTGGTGATCACAGTATGTCTGTAAGTGTTGTTACAGCTCATTGTCTGCCATGACTCAATGATAAAGCAATTAAGCATTCTAAATTTTATATATGCTTCATCCTTTGAATCATTTACAATTTCTGAATTTTGCACTGCAGACTTCAAACCATGACTTAATCACTAATTGTTGTGATTTTAAAAGACACACAAAAAAGCCAAGTAAATGCCTTAAGTTCAAAGACATATTTGATAACAAATGTTAGGCTTTGAATTTAGAAAGCCATCCTTATTTTCAAAAGTAACTAACTTTTGAAGTTTGAGTTTTAGAAAGATTACATTCAAAAACCAGATATTGAAATATGGAACAGGAGATTTTTATCTACAAAAGTAAAGGGAAAAAAAATCAGTTTGAGTCCATACAGCAAACCCATGAACATTAATGTTCTTTCTATAAGCTAATAACTAATTCTCTCCTACACTTGGAACATCCATCCAGTATAGCAAAATCTAAACACTACGGGGACAATATCTTATTAAGGGACTCATTAACAGGGAATTATTCTCATATATACTTTGCTATTGCTTTAGTAAAAGATTGTCATATATGATGAAATTTCAATGAGAGGCATTATAGGATATATATATATTATATATATATATAATATATATATATAAAATCATTAACACATTATGAGACTAGACTGCCAAGATTCAAATCACGGTCTTCTACTTGCTACCCATGTGGTCTTAGGTTCCTTAACCTCTCTTCTAAACATATTCATGAGTCCACAAGAAGATCAGAATAAGAGCAAATGCCCACAGCCATCAGTCCTCTAGGTTTCCTTGTGTTCTCTTCTCCATCCTGGGCATAATCTATGGCCATGTAGTTGGGAGAGGACCAGGGAACAAAAGGGAAAGAAGTGAATGCAGCCCCATCAGCTCCTGCCCACGGTGCTTGAAGCTGCGCCCAGTGGTGGATATTGTTCATTTGCAAAATCACTTGCTTTCACACTCTCTATGAATTCATGAACATGCTTCTCACTGGGCATGTTTTTATGCTAATCTGCTCTCCTTTTTGTGAAAGAGAAAGAAAACCAGGCTCCCTGTGCTAACAATCTCCATGATATATACCCAGATCTCATGTATGTGAATAGTGGAATAAAGTCTTTCCCCAGAAGGTTTCATTTTGGCAGTTTTCTTTCAAGTACTTCACAGAGTTCCTACTTAAATATAATCTAGGTAAACATTTAGTGTTTCATCTTCTGCCAGCTGAAATTCAGAGGAATTGTAATAGGAACTGAAGGGCCAAATGCTCGGTGTGCCTTCAGTTCCCTGCTGAGAGGATCCAAGCACACAGTGACTTTTGAAGCCACTGTGGGCTCCAGGCTCTAATCAGTACCATGGGAGGTATGAAATGGGATAAGAATGGGTCCTTTGGATGCTTTTAACTGGTGCTATTATGATTCACAAGAGAAACCATTGGATAGCTATCCCTAAAGTAAAGCTAAACAATTAAACAGAAGGCTGGCTAGGATGCATCAAGAAATCACAGGTTATCTTTGATTCATATGAGATCAGAAACAGCAACATTTTATCACTCAATAAAAATTTAAAACACCTCTCAAACTCAAATACATTGCAAGGTTCAGGGACCATGTCCACCCCCATGTTTTATAGTAAACCAAGTTCACTCCCTGGCAGCTCAATAAATAACAATAAAAAATTCTCTCTCTGGGAGGACATTACAAAAATATTTCTCTTTCATTTTTTATGGAGCATATAAATCCTATATTATATTGCTATTTTTAAAAAATCCTAGGACAGTACTTAAAGGAATGTGACAAGAAAAGAGTTTAGACAACAATATCCTTGAGGATTGCTTTTCACAAGATGCATTCTTTGAATTTTTAAAGCATTAACTTATCTAAATATTTGTTTCTGCCTGGAATTTAGTGTTGGAGGTCCTATTAAGGAAAGATGCTTGGAAATAATTTAATTAAAATAGAATAATGTCATTTATAGTTACTTTTTGATTATATGTGGTCATTCAGTAAAGATGTAGTATGTATGTTTAATAATACCTTAATTTAGCAATAAACCTGACCTTCCTTATCAAATGATTTTCCTAGAGTGCTAAATAGTAACACTGCCCTGAGTAGCTAGATCCCATTAGGTCATGTTCAAAAGCATTTACAAGAAATGAGAGGGCTCAAACACAAAGAATTCTATGAACGAGATGAGAAGCTTTCAAAAAGGCCCTTCTAGGTCTATGAAACTTTCAGCAACACCTACAATAATAAAAGAAATGATTTTTTTCCCAACCCTGGAGCAAAAAGTGAAGCCAGTGTTCCTCAAAGTGAATAGATAGATCTTCAACAAAAATGGGAGCTGTTAGGATGAGAAGAATGAAGGATATCAGGACAGCAAGCAAAGGGATCATATATACATCCCTTTGACTGCCTAACTTCCCTCCCTGGCCTGCTTCCAACACATGGATAATAAGCCCACCCTTGAAACATACTGGCAACGTCCATGACATTGATTTACAGTGACAAGATCTGAGTACAAGATCTTTGCATGATGACAGTCTCATCTGTTCTGCATTGTTCTTGATATTCTAGCAAACTAGAGATAAGTAAGTCGTTCAATTCTACACACTCTAATACTGTCCAGTAAAATTTTTCATTTGATCATAAGAAAAATGGGAAACAACACATGATTGTCACTGACATGCATCACATATCACCACCTCTGGGACAGACACCTAAAGCAATTCCTGCTCAGGACAATTGAATAGAATCCTCGAAGGGCCAATTTGGCAGCAGTGGTTCTAATTTGCGTGAGGGCCTCCTTTCTCCATTTTCTCCGTGGATCCTGATTTCTCACCAGTGAGAACAATCTTTGTCAATTTTATTCTATGGGATGCCTGCAATCAACATTGGAGAGGCCATGCTACCCGGGCTGTATTTTTGATCATCTTACTTTCTGTTAGTGAAAATTTGGGCTTCGGAAGTGTTCAACTGAGCAATTGAGCTCAATTGTTAGTCAACAATTGAGTTGTTAGTCAACAAGCTTCAACTTTTTAAATAAATATAACTCCTTTACAATTGTAGCTTGCTCTATGCCTATTATATTTGATCAATTCCATCTCCGAGTAATTAAAAGCAGAGAACATACTTAACACAGTCTTTAATCCTAGAACCAGAATTAGAGGCTCTCTCCTAGTAAATAACATTGATCTTCTGTGTCCTGATCATTCCCCTGTGTCTTTTCAAAGTGGTTGGCTTCCTGGAGCAGTTTGAAGTCATGCTTAGGTTGGTAAAAACAAAAAACAAAAAACAAACCAAAAAAAACACACTTATATCCTTGTCCTAAGTCTATGTTCTGGTTGCCTTTCCAAAATGTGAGCAGTTACCTCTTTTATCAAGCTACATTATTTTAGGATAATATTTTTTGGGTTGAAACCAATGGAATCATCTACTTCTTGGTCCCCTATACTTTATCCTATTAAATCTCCCACTTCCCTGTTAACTCTCATCAGCTCGCTGGAGGGAATTAGGCATGCCTGGCCATTCAAGTACTTGAATTACCAGACGCTCAGTAAATTTGGATTGTACACTACAAGCAGAAGACTAAGACTTGTCAGTACTTTTCTTTGCTTCCTGATATGGTTTGAATGTCTGTTGCCCCTCCAAAATTCATGTTGCAAAATTGCAACAATATGAAGAGGTGGGGCCTTTAGTAAGTGATTCAATCATGACAGTTCCTCCCTCATGAATGGGATTAAGGCCCTTAAAAAAGGGGGCTTCATAAGGCATGAGGCCCTTCTGACTTCTGCCATGTGAGGACATGGTGCTTTCCCCTCTGAAGGATGCAGCAACAAGGTGCGATTTTGGAGAAAGGAAATAGAGCCCTTACCAGAATCGAACGCACCGGCACTGTGATCTTAGACTTCCCAGCCTCTAGAACTGTGAGCAAATAAATTTCTATTGTTTATAAATTAACAATAATCTATTGTTTATAAATTAAATTTATAATATAAATTTAATATATATATTAATATATATTAAATTTATATATTTTTATAATATATATAAATATAACAGATTTATAAATTAACCTGTGATATATTTGTTATAGCAGCACAAACAGACTAAGACATTTTCCTTCATTCTTTCAGAGGACAGTTGCAAATCAGACCTGTCTCTTTCTTGGTAGAGCTCCCGGCATTCTAACTCTTTTTGACTCACTGTCCCTAGCGTTGGAGACTTGTGGGCACATAGCCGGATGTCCACAGTACAAACAGCAATCATTTAACCATCTATTAGCAATTAAATAACAAATATTCTCAATTTCTCATGTAGTATATTCTAACAGAATTCAGGCAATTCAATATTTTGGAGCCAATTACTTGTGAAACCCCATTGTTGGCACTATTGTATCGGTTATGTGGTTTTTGATTGAAAAATCATTTTTAAAAGCCAACTCAAATTAGCAAAAAATGCAAGGAAGTTATTATCCTGCATGATCGGAAAATGTCAATAGATTTAGTTTGTAAGGACCCTATATCTGGGGGTGTGTGCTCGTGCGTGCACACAAGCGTGTGTACAACTTTCGAGGCTCCGTCCTCCTCACAAGTCATAGGCAACCTCAGATCATGCTACGAGAATAAATACAGGATTTCTAGACTTTAAAGCTGCACAAGACATTGTCCAGAGAAAAAGATCTGTATCTTAGAATTTCCATATAAAGTCCTGAAATACTATTCACACTGAACTCATTAGAACCAGGAGTATATTATGCTGAATTTTTTTAGGTACTTCACTTAAATAAATGAAGTACTTCAATGTACTTCACCTGTGGGTCAAGGAACAGTGTCATATATCTTGTGACGAATATATCTGCAACATATACCTGAACTTTCGGGAGAGAAGAGAGGGGAAAGATGTTGAATACATTCCCACTTTTCTTTACAGCTCAATAAATAGGAAAGTAAAACAAAACGTATATTGGATAAATTATCAAAGCAACATTACAATGAAATTTAGTTTCTGTTCTCCATAGTGTTAAGTCATTTTACAAAAAGTT